GAAATGGTTTAGATCCCCACCCCAAAACTATATATACAATTGTTGGGCATAAAAAGACGAATGCAGTCATGATATTAGAATTGACCCCAGGGTCTGCCCCACCCTTGCAGACTTAACCCCTGGGTCATAACTTTGGAATGGTTGAGATCCCCACCCCAAAACTTTATATATAAATGCTGGGCAAAAAGAGACAAATGCAGTCACAATATTAGAATTGATCCTTGGGTCTGGCCACAACCCTAGGGATCTAGTTTCTGAGTCAAAACTTGGAAACAGTTGAGATCCCCACCCCATAACCATACATAAAATTGCTGGGCATGAAGAATCTAATACAGATATGCTACAAGGATTGGCCTTGGGGTCTGGCATATTCCCTTGATCTCATTCGGAGAATATTTTGCCATGATTGCTTTGGTATCCAGGTGAGCGATACAGGCCCTCTGGGCCTCTTGTTTTATTTTTCAAAAATACTTTAAACAATATTTCATTTGCTGCTGTTGAAACTAGATTCGCAGTGTTCTTGTTGAGTTGTAGATTGATTGATCAGCAAGACGTTTTATGTTTGTAGAATGCTGGTTACCTTTGTGGTAATGATCAGTGAGACATTTTATTTTTGTAGAATGCTGGTTACCTTTGTGGTAATGATCAGCGAGACGTTTTATGTTTATAGAATGCTGGTTCCCTTTGTGGTAATGATCAGTGAGACATTTTATTTTTGTAGAATGCTGGTTACCTTTGTGGTAAAATGAGCCTTTGTGCTGCACCCGCACCCAAGCTGGCCAGCAATGGAGCTCTGTGTGAGGTCTGTGACACTGTGGCTAAAGAGCTAGACAATCTGCTCAAGGATTCCAATACTCAGGTAAGTCCATTCATGGTAGTCCACAACAATAAAATACTGTGTCAGATATCTTTTCACCTGATATATTGATTGAATGTGAATCATCTGAGTTTGTGAACTGTTATTATACAGTTAAGTTTCTAGGGCTATTGTGAGAGTCAAGTTTTGATATCATAAATACAACCTCTGCCCATATCTCCACAACTGATTGGCAATGCCATCTCAAGAAGTTACCAAAATTGCCAAGAGAAAGGGTTGTAATAATCTGATACAACTGTTGTATGTTAGTTAGCTCTGAAGTCATGTGATATTGATCACCTCACATTTCCGGCAGAAAAGTTGTTGGTTGCACAAGGAGAGGTTACAAAACTTTTACTAGAATCGTGACCTTATCACAGATTTTTGGGTCACCCCTGGGTCACTCTAAAATCTTAAAATAACACCTCCTTTGAAACTTACTGGTAGATTTCCACCACCTTTGCATAAAATTATCCTTAGATAAACTATCCGAGACATATCTTTCCCAGATTTTACATACAAGTTCCCCATGATCCTTAGTTATTCATATTGTAATTTTAGGATCTTTTTGAAAACCAAGATGGCAGACAGAACTAGAGATCTTTTTACATTTTACATGGAAATTCCCAATGGTCCTTACTTACTGCATATTGATTTTTGGAACTGATTGACTAAAAGGAAGGCCTCCAGCTATTCAATTTTGTTATCACTATTTTCCCAAAGGTCCTCTTGTTAAAAATCCCCTTGCCTTGATGAGAATTAATATGTCGTTGACAGCACTTGTTAGCTCACCTGGTCCGAAGGACCAAGGTGAGCTTATGCCATACCGGACCCCAAAACTAAAATGCTGGGCAAAAAGAGACAAATGCAGTCATGATATTAGAATTGATCCGGGGGTCTGGCCACAACTCTAGGGACCTAGTTTCTGAGTCAAAGCTTGGAAACAGTTGAGATCCCCACCTCATAACCATACATAAAATTGCTGGGCATGAAAAATCTAATATAGCTATGCTACAAGGATTGGTCTTGGGGTCTGGCATATTCCCTTGATCTCATTCGGAGAATAGTTTGCCATGATTGCTTAGGTATCCAGGTGAGCGATACAGGCCCTCTGGGCCTCTTGTAATTATGTAAGAATTACAGATTTGTAGCATTTTGCATAAAGTTATGCAGTTCTTATACAGCAACATTTGCCATGGTGGGAAAAACATGACATTACAAGGTTTAAGTTAATGAACAAGATTCCCATCTATGATTTCAACCATGGGATTGGGTCATAGTACCTGTAAAGTAAAAGAAAGGGCATCTTTTGTAGATCTGATAAGGATCCTTTGATGGTGGGTGCCAAGATCCTTTTAGGATTTCTTGTTAATGGTTTTTTTTGTTACAAATGCCACATTTTTCTTAAGATCACCGTCTTTGCCCATTTAAGACCTTCTGATGTATACCTGATGAAATTAAAATTAGCAGACTGTACTTATGTTTCCTCTGCAGGCAGAAATAGAGGCACTGTTGGACAGCATCTGTAGCAGACTTAGTGGTAACCTGAGTGGTCAGTGTAAGACATTTGTTGACGAGTATGCTCCATTTGTGCTGAATATGCTGGCCAATGAGTTGGATCCAGACACCATTTGTAAGGGCCTTGGTTTATGTCCTGCTAAAAAGACGGCCAAATCAACCCCACCTAAAGGTATGCATTGTGATAAATTCTGTCTTGTGAAGAACACGGTTTTGCTTATTATAGAAAATCTCTTTGGAATTTCTTGCTCATGGTACCTTTTGTCCTTTCAGCTGTCAGTAACACTGTCAAGTCCAGTGGCACATGTGCCGTTTGTGAATTTCTTGTGAAGGAAGTATCAACATTACTCAAAGAAAAAAGCACGAAGGTAAAAAATCTTGATCACAACACTATTTGGACATTGTCAAAAAAATTTGGATTTAAGCTGTTCAAATTTCCCTTCATCGGCATCAGTCCATCGTTCTGTCCGTCCTGAAATAATTCTTGTTAGTGCTATTTCTCCTAAACTTCTAGAGATCTTTCTCAAACCTCAAATGAAGGTGTGCCATGGTCCATAGTTATGCTAATTGAGTTATGGGACTGATCAGAAACCAAGGTGGCCGACAAGTTGCCATTATTAATTTTGATAATTAAAGTTTGTTAGCGCTATTTCTCAAAAAGTACTGGAGGGATCTTTCTCAATTTTCACATGTAGCTTCTCCATGGTTCCTAGTTATGCATATTGAATTTTGGGACTGATTAGAAATCCAAGTTGGTCAACTGGTGGCCATCTTAAATTTTGAGAGTTTGAATTCATTAGCGCTGTTTCTCAGAAATATTTTTAGGTCACCTGAGCTTTGCTCAAGTGACNAAATTCCAATTTGAATGTGAAAGTTTGAAAATGAGTAAACATAACTTAAGTTGGGTCATTATGAATGTGAAGTTTCAGCATATTTCTCTGTTTCCCAGATCAATTGCTGTTGATAGTCAAAGCGGATACAGGCAAATCTTGTGTGTAAAGTGATACTATTTAGCCTATTTGAATAAATTTGGGTTTGACCATCCTTGAAGGTCACAGATGTGAAGGACAGGTGAGCGATATAGGCCAATCGGACCTCTTGTTATAGGGGAGTGAGGGCAATAGCATTTGGTGCAGTGATATATTTTATTAGAGGACGGCACTTGGTGATATTTAAAACTTCAGCAGTAGGTGTAATAATCTGATATATATAAGTGTTTTCTGTTTGATAGGATGAGATAAAACAGGACCTATATGTTGTGTGTGGTAAGTTGGGCAGCATCGAGGATGAGTGTAAAACCTTCCTAAACGTGTACTTCGACTTAGTGTACAGTTTGCTGGTGCAAGAAACTGATCCCCAGAAAGTTTGCACCCTAATCGAAGCGTGTTCTGCTAAAAAAGATGTCAAGACTGTGCTGCCCAAGCATTCACCAAGGCTACACATTGTACCACTATCTAAAGGAACCTTACCGACCAAAATTTTCAACTTGGACAGTAAGTTTTTGCTTTACATAATAACCTTGTGTGATTTAAACCTCATCTGGTGTGTAGTGCACTGTATTAAGGTCAACATGACCGATGCCTCTAGGTTAAAGGTCAAGGCAGTGTGAAGCAATCCGAGGTCAATATTACTCCATCAGGTCCATATAACAACCTATTGATCGAGACAAAATCCTTAATATTTATATTACATACCATGTCAAATGTTAGCATGAGATGTATCATAGGGATTGTGATTCATATCACAACATGAACTTTCTAGAGATTAACAAAATAAACAAAAATATGAAACATCAGATACCAAGTACATATTTTGTTGACTTGTTGTAAATACTTATCCCTTTGGTATGTTTTTGATGCTCATGTTTACCTGTCAACATTGTCACTTCTGGATATTCACATTGACAGTGAACAAAATGTCTGGATCTAAATTTAGAAACATGAGGTTGTTATGGTCAAATACAACACAAAAATAGTAACATGGGGTCGATATGCTATATATCGGCTAACCTGAGATCAAGGATTAGCCAAAAAAAATCTAGGAAAATCAGACCATATGGTATATATACATGGTAGACCTACCTAGACACAACTACGCCATGGGAATCTTTGATTTCTAATGGAATATACATGTTGGCAATATAGGACAGAAAACTGGAACTTTTAATTTTCTAGGATAATGCTACCTTTCTTTGAACTCTTCTACTGTTTCTAAAGATTTGTTGATACTAACAATGTTAGGTGCATTGATACATGTATGAGGTAGTAAAGGTTAATTGTGTTACAGCAGCTACCAAGTCTAGTGACGAGTGTGCTATCTGTGAGATGGTACTGACATATGTAGCAGAAGCCCTGAAGGAGTCGGCAACTGTCGAGGCCATTACAAGTGGTCTGAACATGTTGTGTGGAAAAATCCCACAGGAGTATCAACAGACGGTAAGATCGTCTACTACTTTATTTTCCTCGTTGTTTCTGTGGGGAGAGATATATTAATATCTGTTTCTGTACTGTTGCTGTCTGTGGGGAGAGATATATTAATATCTGTTTCTGTACTGTTGCTGTCTGTGGGGAGAGATATCATTATGTCTGTTTCTGTACTGTTTCTGTCTGTGGGGAGAGATATCATTATGTCTGTTTCTGTACTGTTTCTGTCTGTGGGGAGAGATATCTTTGTGTCTGTTTCTGTACTGTTACTTCCTGTGGGGAGAGATATCTTTGTCTGTTTCTGTACTGTTACTTCCTGTGGGGAGAGATATCTTTATGTCTGTTTCTGGACTGTTACTGCCTGTGGGGAGATAATCTTTATGTCTGGTTCTGTACTGTTACTGCCTGTGGGGAGAGATATCTTTGTGTCTGTTTCTGTACTGTTACTTCCTGTGGGGAGAGATATCTTTATATCTGTTTCTGTACTGTTGCTGTCTGGGGGGAGAGATATCTTTATGTCTGTCGAGGCCATTACAAGTGGTCTGAACATGTTGTGTGGAAAAATCCCACTGGAGTATCAACAGACGGTAAGATCGTTTACTACTTTATTTTCCTCGTTGTTTCTGTTAGGAGAGATATCTTTATGTCTGTTTCTGGACTGTTACTGCCTGTGGGGAGATATATCTTTGTCTGTTTCTGTACTGTTACTTCCTGTGGGGAGAGATATCTTTTTGTCTGTTTCTGTACTGTTACTGTATGTGGGGAGAGATATCTTTATATCTGTTTCTGTACTGTTGATGTCTGTGGGGAGAGATATCTTTGTGTCTGTTTCTGTACTGTTACTGCCTGTGGGGAGATAATCTTTATGTCTGTTTCTGTACTGTTACTGCCTGTGGGGAGAGATATCTTTATGTCTGTTTCTGTGCTGTTACTTTCTGTGGGGAGAGATATCTTTATGTCTGTTTCTGTACTGTTACTGTCTGTGGGGAGAGATAT